TTCGCTTCTTTCAGTCCCTCGGTGGTTCGTTGAGGGCTTTGAGGCAGAGGCAGAAGGTTCTACTTAATCTGGGCCTGTCTGTTCTGAGGGGTCGGCTTCACTGTAATCCTCAGACCCTTCCCATCACTGGTTGCTTTGGCGATGTCATCACTAACCTTTTCGGAGACAGACCCAGGGGGCAGATCTTGGGGGTCAGGGCAGACGTGGCACTGAATTCCCTACGAGTACCTCTCAGGCATACGACTCTATCGCATTGGGGTTGAACTTCGGTGGCATGATGGAAATGCTTGGTGTCAGACGAACCCGGATACGGAACTATGGAAGAAAATTGCACTTAGGCCTCCTCTGAGCCAGAAGCCAAAAGCGCTTTCCATCTATTTTTGATCATCAACTTTCATTCACTCTGCAGACTCACTAGTATCTCACCTGTAGTCCCTCACTGGTCCTGGCTCCTCCACGGAGTCTGCACTTCTCCCACCGCACCCATCCCATGCTTCGCACCCCTTCACTCTCTGGACGGACTGCAGAGGAATGGCCGGCACACAGGCCTGTTCCCCGCCTACCCCACCCCATTTCCCAAAAAGTCTAGTGACTGCTCTAGTGGTCCGGGGCTATTTTTCTCTATACCACAGCATCCAGCTCAGAGTGAGTACAGTAGCTGCTCAATAAATTGCTGTCATTTGATCAGACAAGTCACAACTTAATGGTAACATTAAGAGATGAAAAAAATGACATTCCAGAAGTTACAAATGTTGATTTATGAAATCAGAGGAACCTCATTCATGGGAAAAGTTCTCTGAACTCTTACTGTGGAATTGGAATTGCTGGATTCAATGCCTTTCTCAGGCCACCCCAGAGGACTGACTGAAGGATTGCTGGGGAGACAGTTTCTTCAGCGTAGATCCCAGGCAGGGTCCGTTTGCACTGCAGGGTCCTGGCTCAGAGCTGAAGTCCCACCCGCTGAATCTGCCCAGCTCCCCCACAGACCCGGTGCTGGTGCCTCCGTTGTCCACACTTCCCCCCACTTCCCACTCCCTGCTCTCTGCCTAGTAGTCCTTTTTCAGAGAAGGGGGACTTCGGAGGGAGCCAGCTGGTTCTCTTGTGGAATAATCAGGTCCAATGGGGTGTCCCTTATTTCTCTGCACCCCTAACTCACTATTCAGTGGCTCATGACCGCCCTCAAGATTCTTTAAGAATTTCCCCCAAGGCAGTGATTTTCTTCTTTTTTTGTTTGTTTGCTAATCCTCACCAGAGGATATTTTTCCATTGATTCTTAGAGAGAGTGGAAGGGAGAGAGTGAGGAGGAGAGAGAGAAAAATAAACATCGATGTGAGAAAGACACATCAATTGCTGGCTTCCTGAATGTGTCCCGGGGCTGGGGATCGAACGTGCAACCCATGTATGTGCCCTTGACTGGGAATCAACCCAGGACCCTCCCGCCTCAGACGGAGACTCTAACCGCTGAGCCAGACCGGCAGGAATAAGGGAGCCAATGTAGGCTTCTCAACCCCTTTCATCTCATGGCACACATACATTAGTTACTAAAATTCTGTGGTATACCAAACATATATTATATTTTTGCTGATCTGAAAAAGTAGGTATAATTTTGATGCATTCACAGTGGATGGCTATTGTTGTATTGGCTGTTGTCGTTTTTGTTATTTGACAGTCTAAGGCAGTGGTTCTCAACCTTGCTAATGCTGGGACCCTTTAATACAGTCCCTCATGTTGTGGTGACCCCCAACCATAAGATTATTTTTGTTGCTACTTCATAACTAAAATTGCTACTGTAATGAATCACCAGTGGAAATACGTGTTTTCCGATGGTCTTAGCGACCCCTGTGAAAGGGTCGACCCAAAGTGGTCACAGCCACAGGTTGAGATCCGCCGGGCAGGGAACAAGTCATGCCTCTGACTGAATAGTCAGGTGTCGCACATTTAAAAATTCTTCAGCACACCAGTTGAAAATCAGTGCCCGAGGATCTGCCGCCTGCCAGGTCACCCCTCCCGGGAGGAAACATTGTCCCCTTCCCCAGGCCCAGCGCGGGAGCAGAATCAGGGATGTTCAAAGTGCTGCTCTTATGGAGGAAGCATGAAGGGCAGAGCAGCCTCTCAGAGATTCCGGAACAGGCTGGGGCAGAGCGCTGGGTCCATTGTCCTAGGAGGGGAGGGAGGATGAAAAGAAAATGACATTGACTGAAGGTGGGGGACTGGAAAGTGAGCAAATTCTAGAGAATTTCCCATTGTTTAAGGTAGTTTCACTTTCTTAAATTTTTAGGAAAATGAGAAATGTTGTTACTTAAGATGCCCCATATGGTACCAGGGGTACAAAGAGCTAAGGAAGGACAGGGCCTACTTGGAGCCCTGTTGTGAGCCAGCAGGGGGCAGCAGTGGTGGAGGCAGCTGCTGGGGGAATGGCTAGTCCTGACCACAGACAGAGAAGGGAGAGGAGTCTGGTACAGCGGAGATGCCTGACCCGTGGCCGCCTTGTCCAGTCCTCATCGTTTCCTGGAGGAGGAGGAGCTGGAGGAGACTGGCGAGATGCTGTCAAATCAGTGGTCTGGGAAGAACTTCCTCCTGGAACAGATGAGTGGTAACTTCTGGGCTGTGTGGTGTTCTCCGTGGGTACTGGAAGAAAGAGACTGAAGATGGGTAGGGGGAAGCAAATGCCCAGGTAGACACATTTCCACTGTGGTGGCTTCGCTGTTAGCATGGGGGGGGGGGGCAGGCTCAGGGACCTGGGAGGAGGCTAGCCAGGGTGCGGGCTGCTGCTGCAGGACATCATTCCTGGACTGACAGTGACCTGCAGGAAGCAGGAGACAATCGTTTGACCCACAGCAGCAACAGTGGAGGAACCTAATCCTGAGAATTCACCTGACAGAAGTGCCTTCCTCCCCCTCACCTCCTCATCCGCAGGGACTAAGGTCCTCCCATCTTTCCCACTCCCCGCTGTCACCCTCAGCCCGCTGTCACCCTCAGCCCGCTGTCGCCTCCAAGGAGCAGGCTCTCAACCAAGGGGAGCCCTTGGGGCTGCACTGAGATGCCCCATGTCCAACCACCTTATCCAGAGAGCTCTGTGTCTAAGGAACCTGCTCGAAGTGCGATGATTCAGAGAAAAAGCAAGACTCACAATCCTTCCCAGTCCTACTACAGGAACAAGTCAGTCCTTATCCACACCTACTCTCAGTGGCTCTTGAAATTTCTTACCCTTCAGGTAAGTTTTCAGTTGACTATGATGTGACTTTACCTCTATGGAAATAAGGGAGAGACTACCGTGTGGCTGGTGGGTACACATTTTGGAAAAATACAGAATATGATTAGATTAAAATTTCCATGATCACTGAATATGGTGAGCCCCTAAGGAAAGTCTTGACTGTGATACTAGGAGCTGAAGTAAGAACCCAAGGAGTCACCCTCCTCTCTGCCTTCTTCCTCAACTTCCATGTTCCGTACATCACCTCAGGGTACCCTCTGCACCGTGCTGTGCGCCCTTCTCCAGGGGCATCTGATGGTCCATGGGGCACACGTCTGTTCCCACACTCCAGCAGAGCCCGGACGAGGGCTGTCTGGAGAGCCTCATTCCCGTCTTTTTATCTCCAGGTTTTATCAGTTCTAGGCACTTTATTGGTGCTAATCAATGACTGTTAAGTAAAACTGAACTACTTCAGCAGGGTAGTGAAGGGCAGACATAACACCACCCGTAAACTGACACCGAAGGAGAACTTCCTTCATCCTTCCACGCCTGTGTTACTGCGTTGACTCAGGCTCAGGGACCCTGCTGCTCTGCCCCCAGTGACTGCCTTGTCCAGTGGTTTCGAAAAAGTGGTGGGAGGATCCTGGGGATTCCCAAGATGCTTTCAGTACAGTCCAAAAGTAACAACTATTTTCATAATGATATTCAGATGTTATTCCACCTTTCCACTCATATTTATTCATGACTACACAGTGGAAATGAGATTATGGGCTTGTGTAGAAGCCATTGCTATGACAGCCGGTGCTTTGTTACTTGTATATCATGTGTTTTAAAATGTTCAGTTTTAATTTTTAATATTACAAATGTTAATCGATAAAATTCACTCTGCCTCCCCTCCATGATGAGTACTTCTCAGGAGAGGGTAGAGGCTGGGAGTAGAGGTGGGCTCGGGAGACAGATGGCCCTTTGGGCACTGAGAATGGGGGCCAAAGGGGAAAAGGAGACCTGCCCAGGTTGCCTCCAGGGTCCCTCCAAGGATTTCCTGCTCTTTGCTTCCTTTCTCAGGTCCCAGTTTGTCCCTCTGTGGCTTCCCCCAGACTCAACAAGAGAGCAGAGACACACCACTGAGGGGTAAATATTTTTATTGCGAAGCAGGGAGGAAGGAACATCACAAAGCATGGAACACTTTGAATGGATTCATGGTCCAGAGCAACGGGGGAACTTTGCTAGGGATTGTGGAGATTCTGAGGAAATACAGACAGGAGATCTCATTGCCTTCACTGAAGAGTGTGCATTTGTGGGAAGAACTCTGGAAAATTTTTGGTTAGTTTAAACAGTTTTCTTGTTTTCAGTCATAAACCATGTTTGCTCCTGGAAATTTTTATAAAGTTGCTGAATCCCAGAAAGGCAGATTGCAGAGCAAGGAAATGTGTCCTTGTAGTGATCTCATGCAACCAGCAGGCGGCAGTGTGGTACAGGGAACCGCTGCTGGAGAGTCTGGCCTGATGCTGACCAAGGGAGTGGATGGAGAAGAGCAAGAACAAGTCTGGCCTCCAGTGAAGATTTTGAGAACATGGCACATCTGTCGGAATCCTGTCGTCTCCTGGGGAAGAGCTGAAGGAGTCATTGATCCCAGAAGGAAAAGCCTGGAGGCTATGATGGTATCTTTCCTCTTGAGTCTGAAGAGAAGCAGCATCTTCTAGGTTGTGTGTGTTTCCTGTCGTTACCGGAAGTGAGGGGATGGAGGTGCAGGATGGCAAGGGCACAGAATCTTCATGAGCAGGTTGAGAGGGTGGCTTCAGAAGTCTCACTTCTGTTTAGGAAGGTATTCCTGCTGGCATGGAGGGCTCTTGACAGGGGGGCATTTCTGCTGGCTGGGGCATGGGGGACATGGCTCAGGCACCTGGGGAGGGCAGGGCACAGGCACCTGGGGAGGGCAGGGCACAGGCACCTGGGGAGGGGGCTGGCAGGGGACTTTGCATTGTTGCTGCTGCTGGTAGGACATTTTCTTTAGATTAAAGATAATCTGAAATAAAGAAGAAAAGCACTTTAGAATGAAACAACATTAGTGGAGATTATTTAAAAATCGGTAAAGGCAGAGACATCCTCTCTCATTATTCTTTCTTTAATATCAATGCTATGACCACTTATTTTACTCCCTCCGGAACCCACCCGCCCTCCAGAAGCCTCCATGACCACAGAGGCCAACAAAGATGGTTTTCTTGGGGGCTGCCTTGGATGCTCAGGGTCGCACTGTCTGCCCCACGCAGAGAGGCGGGGCCTGGACTGCGCTCTGTGGAGCATGTGCATACTGCAGCGAATTAGGAGAACTAAAAGATTTGGAAAGTATCAGGAAAGTGTGCCTGAAGATAAAAGGGAAAATGTCTTTAGAATAGTCTGCTTGAGGTCAAGGGGGTTAGGAGACAACAGAGCATGTGCCAAATTTTGTGAGACCCATGGAAGCAGTCTCATTTGGAGAGGGTGGACTGTCCTTCCAGAGACCATGGACAGTTCCCTTCTCTGGGACTGTGGCCCTGTTCATTGCACACGCATTCCTTCCCTGTACTTTACCATCTTCAACAACGTCTCCCGTCCTTCCGTGTCATTCCTGACTACTTTAAACCTGATCACTGCTTCTTCAGGGGTCATTAAGGTCCCTCTTCACGGCTGTCTGGAAGATTAGAGCTGGGGCAGAGTCAGAGCCCATGGGAAACCCAGCCAGGTGCCCAGCTCAGATCCTCCCTAGAGGGCTCTTCATCTAGGTTGGAAGCTTGAGCAGGAAACACGAGAAATATACAAGACTGGGGGTTATGAGAGCCAAGTTCTGGCCTCAGCCTTACCAACCTCTGTTTGGCTGTCCTGGAACCTTCTCATCTGTACTTTTAATCACAGTAATCTCAAAATTACTTTGTATTTAGAGCAGTACTTGGTCAACTTTTTCTGTAAAGGACCTGATAGTAAACAATGTAGGCTTTTCAGGTCAGATCAGACAGTCTGTCACGATTCAGCTCTGCCACTGCCTTGTAAGGGCACAGACGTGGTGTGGACCAAGGGGCATGGCTGCTCCAATCACACGTTATTATACAAACAGGCTGGGGTTGGCCGGTGGACCTGAGCTGGCCGGCGCCTGATTCAGACCCTGACTTGCTGCCTCACGTGCCACCTTACTTCTCCCCGCTCACTGTCTCTCCCACCAGGCCTCTCTTTTCTGGTCTGTTGTGCTTATCTCTTCCTATCACTGTTTCTGGCCATTTTTCTTTCCTTTTCTGTATCCCACCCCAGCCGATAACCCTACACAATCCTTTCATTCTCCAGTGGGAAACCATGAACGGCCCCCTCGACGGCTTTTTCTCCCCCAGGCAGAGCCTCCCGCTCACCTGCGTGTCCGGGCTGTTCCAGGTCTCAGGAATCCAAGTGCACGGATAAGCCCAGTCCATGGTCCTTTTATCCTGGGCTCAGCCTGAGCAGGAGGAAGCCAAGGGGTTTCCCCACCATTTCCTGCTGTCCTGCTGTCTCACCCCATTCTCAAAACACTTGCCAAATTCCTCCTTTGCATGCAAAGCTCCGGTTTGACTGCTTTTGAGTCAATAACAACATTTTCATTTCCTGTGGAAATATTTGGAGTGTGTGTGTTTGTGTGTATGTGTGTGTGTGATGGGTGTGGCAGAGGGATATAGGGATAGGCGCATCTTCCCCAAGTGTACCGGGTCCTTCAGTGGAGCTTGGGGACCTGTGAGGAAAGAAGTCCCTGGGCTGGAATTTCCAGCCAGAGTCTGTTGTGTGTTAATGCCAGGCTGGATCTTAACACACTTTCCTAGTTTCTCTCCTCATCTCCTACAGGGAAAGGAACTTACCATCTACGGCACCCATATCACCTCTAGCAGTGATGTGTGTGGTCAAATGAAGTTAAGTTCATGTACCCAACGACCACTAGGCACCTCCTAGGGGCTAGCTGTGAGTGGGGGAGGGTACAAGAATGTCTTAGACTCAGCCCAGGCACAGGAAAAACTGTCTAGGAGGAGACAGATGTGAGCACGCAGTGCGAAGGGCAGTGCAGACATCGGGTCGGTGCACCTTCCTCTGCCCGCTGGGCGGTAGCATGGAGGCGGGGTTTCCTGTACGGAGGACTCTTGTCACGGAGAGGGAGCTCTGGAGCAGGACTGCACTAGCGTCACACCGTCCTGCTCCCCACTATCGCCATGAAGTGACACTGCACTCTCTCCTCCCTCCCTCTGGACCAGGGGACACACAAACATCTGACGCTGTGCCACACATTTCTTAGCAAGAGACTGTGAGCTTCCCAGTTGGTCACTGTCCCTCCCTATTGGTCCTGTGACTCTCTCCTTCCTGGGGCTCCTTTCATGGCCAGGGCAGAGGTCTGTCCTGGGCACCACCGCTCCCAGCTGGCAGCTCAGGAGTCCTTGTGGTACTGAGAACGTCGCAGTACTGTGGGCAGAGCAAGGGGGCCAAGCGGTGTAAATCCCAAGTAGTGTAGCGTCTTCTACATCTCCGATTTCAGCAAAGACCCCTTGTTCATGAAAAATATATATTGAAATGTACTATATGTACATTTAAACAATATTAAGTATTCCAATTGTTTAACATAGGTATTTGTCCATTTGTCTGTACTCAAATTGATACAATGCATATGAATCTCAGTACTATTCTTTTTTGTAGAATTTGAGAAGCTTATTTAAAAGTTTAACGTTAAAATTTGGTTCTATTGAATGTATACATGATTTTCAACATACTTTGTTGGTAGTACTTGATAAGTTTATTCTATAATTTATATGGAAGGACAAATGACTAAGAATAGTCAAGAATTTCTTAAAAGATAACAAAGGTATAGGACTTTAGCTACTAGATATCAATGTTACAGTAATTAAGACAGTATGGTACTTACTGTAAGGACAGATACATAGACTAATGGAACAGAACACATATATAATTACTTGCTTTATGACAAAGGTAACTCTGTATAGTAGTGGGGGAAGGTTAGTCTTCCCAATAAATGGTGCTCAGATCAATTGGATATTATCATGGGGCTAAAAAAATATATCTTGACCCTTACAGCATAAAAAAATTAGTTCCAGGTGGGTTATAGAACTAAATTTGAATTGCAAAATGGTAGAACTTTTAAAAAAGCATAGGAAAGAATGTCTTTATAATATTGTTGATAGAAAACAAAGAACAATAAGCATAATTCTTGCACTGGGAATAAAAAGAATAAACATAAGAAGGCAAAATGATAAACTAGACATTATTTAAATTAGAATTTTCTGCTTATCAAAATGTACCACTGCAACTGCAAAAACGAAAGTCACAGGAATGGAGAAACTATTTGTGATACATATATTTCTTTTTTTAAAATTTTTTTATCCTCACCAGAGGACATTTTTCCATTTTTTGTTCTGGTAGAGTGGGAGGGAGAGAGAGGAACAGAGAGAGAGAGAGAGAAACATCGATGTGAAAGGAACACATCGAGTGGCTGCCACCCGCACAACCGACCAGGGCCAGGGACAAACTGCAACCAAGGTACGGGCCCTTAGCGGGAACCGAACCCGGGTCTCTCAGGACCGCAGGCCGATACTCTAACCAAACCGGCCAGGGCTGTGATACATATATTTCACAAAGGACTTGTATTCAGAAGCAGAAAACAGACACATACATACATACACATGTGCATGTGTGTGTGCATGCACACACACACACACACACACCACAAATCAACAGGAAAACAAGAAACAAATAGAAAAATGTCCAAACAATTTGAACAGGCAATTCATGGAAAGTTATTTCCAAATTTCCAGTAAAGTATGACAGAGTTTTCAACCACATCAGTCACAAGAGAAATAAAAATTGAAATCACAATGTATCACCCAGCAGTGTGGCTCAGTGGTTGAGCGTCGACCCATGCACCAAGAGGTCGCTGGTTCGATTTCTGGTCAGAGCACATGCCCTGGTTGTGGGCTCAGTCGCCAGTGGGGTGCATGCAGGAGGTGGCCAATTGACATTCTCTCTCTTCAGTGTTTCTATCCCTCTCTCCCTCTCTCTTCCTCTCTCTCTCTAAGATCAATACAGAAAAAAAAATTAAAAACATTACAATGTATACCTCCACAGAGGCACTGAAATGACTAATGTGAAAAGACAGATACCCTGAGATTGGATCAAGAACAACAAAACTTTCATCTACTGCTAATAGTAATAATAGTTTTTAAGATTTTGGAAAAACTAGCAGTATTCACTGGAGTTGAACATGTCCTATTCTCTGACCCAGTCATTATACACCAGGGTATGTACCCAACAGAAGTATATATACATAGTAAGAAAAATATATTAACATGAATGTTCATAGTAGCATCATTTAAAAATTTTTAAATTGGAAATGACTAAAATGCCTGTCAACAGTAAAGTGGATACATAAATAGTGTTATGTTCCCACAAAGAAAGATTATACTGCAATGCGAATGAAATACAACTACACCGTAGGAAAGAGATAAATCTCACAAACACAATTTTAACTGAAAAAATCCAGGCAACAGAGAATTCCTACTGTATGCTTCCCTTTATGTAAATTTCAGAAACGAGAAAGGCAAATCTGTGGCGTTAGATGTCAGGGTAACGGTGATGTTTGGGTGTGGGTGATGACTGGGAGGGGACACAGGCAGACTATTGGGATGTTGGTAATATGCTATTTCTTCTGCATATTGGTTACGTGGTTGTTCAGCTAGTGAAACTTAGTGAGCTGTATATTTAAAGTTTGCATTGTTTTCTAAATTTATCCTTCAAATTTAGTTCAAGTAAGTGGTTATTTTGAAGAAGAAGACATCATCAAAATGCCAACATTCCTGCAATGTAGTGAACAAAAGAGGAAGAGATGATGAAGTCAGCAAAATTGTGCTATAGCATGGAATGCTTTGAAAGGCAGTAAGAAGTTTGGATTTTATTCTAGGTGCAGCGGGAAGATGCATGATCATTTCAGTAAAGACAGTGGGTAATATTGTG